TGTACCAGTAATCCCTCTTCGCCCAACTGTCCTATTATCTCTACTGCATCAACTCCTTCAACATATACTGTATTTAACAACGACACAAGAATAACAACAACAACAGCAACACCAATAGTGTCTTCCGGTAGCTGTTGTGCAGTTCAGAACTGTACACAAAACTCCGATTGTTGTGGATCTAGTTCAATGGAATGCCAATGCTTTCGACATAACACAGCTGATGTTTATGGTTCATGTATCAATCCTTTTCTTACTCCAATGTGTGGCACAAGTTGTCCAGTACAAGGTAAATGTAAAACTGATTCAGATTGTTGCAAATGTCAATGTGTCGACATAAGTTTTACTGATGTGAGTGAACAACTAATTACAAAGAAACAATGTGTACGACGTTAAAATCTTATCTTAACACTTAGTTATGCAGCTCTTTACCATTATTTTTTTTGCTTCTTCTTTATTACGTTTTGCATGAAGATGAATCTTCTAATGCGATTAATTTGTGATGTAAAACAATACGAAACTTTTTTTATTATTTTATGTTTTTATTCTTTATTTTTAAATTTATTTATCTTTTATATACTATCTATTATTTCTGCTATTCAATATTTCATTTATTTTATCAATTATCAATCGAGAGTCGAATATGATCGCGATGTTCTATCAAAGTTCTTGATTTTTATTTCAAATATTATACTTAAACGAAATAAATATCAAACGATTTTTTTGTTTTTGTCTTCTTTGCATATAATGATGAAGTAACTTACTCAAGCATTATTTTGTTCTGTAATAAGTGTGAGAGAGAGAAGGAAAGATGAAATATGAATACATAGATTAACGATACAAATATATTGACCCGAAAAATCGTTTAGATTTTTCAGTCCTGATTCAATATTGATTTAATACATATTAGACTTTATTATTGTAGAAATAAATATACCCTATTCATACATTATAATATTGAATAAATAAGAAAAAACGATCAACTTTTCATATGCACCCTATAGTTGCATAATGGTAGTGAATATTTTCATTTTCTTCTTTACATAGCAAGAATATATTCATTTTCAGGGGTATAATATGGACTGAACTTGCCAAGTACAAATCTCATTTCATCAACTAATCGACACCAATTTGACGTGAGAGTACCGGCATGTAGATCAGCATTAGCTTCAATAAAAAGATCAGTGAGAAATTCTAATATAATTTTTCCACGCTGTTTCATTGGCATACTCATTAATTATCGAAAAATATTATTTTTTGCTGCTTTAACAGAGCTGAGCAACTTAGCTGAAAAAGTGAATTAACTCAATTCAATTCAGCTTTGATCATAAAGTGAATAATATTGAGTCGACCAACTCTGGTTTTAGATAACTCACCAACTCGAATGATTGAGAAACGAGATGTTATCAATTTAGATATGAAAATGAAACCTTATTCGTTACATTTATTCAGATAAATCGAATAACTTGTCTCATTCGCGATCATATTAATATTAATAAAAGTTTAAAACTAAGATATATGATAAAATTGAATTCAATGTATCAAATTTTACAGTATATATGTGTATTAAAATATCCCGATCGCTTGATCAGGAATGCCGTAAATTATTAAAGTTGTAATGATTTTCATTTCAATAAATCAATTATTAATGAAATTTTTTCATTAAAATTTCATATGTTTGTCAAAGATTCATCAAATGTAACAAGTTTAATCATATTCATTACCTCGTCTAGATATTTAAAATTCAAATTTTTATGATCGAGTTATAGATAAAAACATGTAACAAATGTAATATTATCTAATAAAACCATATCTGACAAAGATCTATATTATGATCATAGGCAAGTTGAATTATTTGGTTTCGTATAATTACCGTCAGCTTATATCGAGAAAAGATTAATAGAATTTGTCAAAAACAAATATGTGAATAAAAGGATCAAAAAGAAGTTAGTGCAAGTCGTTTTCGCAATTCATTCTATAATGAACATTATAATATGATCCATAATATTTATCAAAATTAACATACAATTACTTGAATGGATCGATAAACCTATTAATCAATTATACACATACTTACATCCTCAAAATGA